GGGACAGTTCTTTTTATTGAACTCGTGAACTGTGGTGCTGCGGCAGGTTATTCTTCTATATAACCGGTTATAGGCAGGTTATTCTATAGGCCAGGTCTTTCGATTAAGTACCATTTCCCCAAGTCCGAAAAGGAAGTAAACTGCTGTTCTAAACTAACGTACTAAGTACAACAAATGGACTAAAAGACAAACTGCGAACTGTTTGTCATGTGCAAAAATGTAATGCATCATGCAGGTCCCCGCTCCGTCGAGAGGGGTGGGGTATTGTACCTAAAGCCCAAGGTTTTGATTCGCGCTCGCGCATGATTGGAGTGAACCCTAGTGCGAGGGACTGAAAAGAAGACAGCTCAGCACAGTTCTTTTTTCAAGCAAAGTTCATTGGAATAAGGTTTCAACTAGAACTTCACATCCCTACCCAATACCATATTGGCCTGAAAAGGTGGTACCTAGAAAAGTCATTCTTGAGCAGTGTAGGCCTTGATTCCATACCCCTGAATTCTGTACTTCATAAAAGAAACGAAAATCTTCCAGGAAATGCTAACTGGAGGAATTCCCATGTCTTTAATATGGAACTGCGAGGTGATGGTGGTTTTGTCGTTTTGCGACGTTTGTTCTTACAGGTCAAAACAGCGAGACTAGTCAGACCAAATTACAATTATTCTACGCATGTATTCCTCTAAAAAGGTGTTATAACTGCGAACCTTCCAATGATATACCTATATATATATCTTGTAACGGTTAATTATTTATAGAAATAGTCGAGTTGTGACGGCTACAGCTGCGCTTCTCGGATAATTTTCACAGGCTGTGTTAATTGAATGAAACGGAAAGCAGTCTATATTGAAATCTAACTTCTTAAGAAAGGAATGAAAGAAGTTCGAAGAGGGAAGTTTCGTTGGCATTGTTGCCCCCTCTCCCAGCTGTTCCACGTATCAGCTGCTCCGTTCCCAACATATTATTTATTCAACTTGTCTTTCGGCCGACTTTATTGTTTTCCCCCACGTTCACCCTCTCTTCGACGTTCTACCGCGGGCTTGTGCAGGTGAGCCGGGACTTCAAGGCAAAAATTATAAGCTCGGCGATGACTGATGAGTATCGGCGAGGAAGATGGGAGCCTAATGTAATTGTATTGTGATGTTAAATGGGTGAATGGTAAAAACCGAAGGAACATCTGGGCTCACCCTCTCACCCCACCCACTAACCGAATATAATGAGCTACGGGACCCTTCCATAAACACTCGACCGTCTAATGGCCCCTAGGCCCAATAACACGAGGGCACAATTGAGTTACTATTCGCCTGGGTTCCGTCCAAGGGGATGTAACACCCGATGCACTTGCCTTTGAATCATACCCCCTCGATATATAATAAGGCTTTTATATATTCAAATTCCAGGATAATACTTTCTACAATCTTCTACAGGAATATTGATAATATTACGAAACAAGCACAACCATCCTATGAAGTACCTGCTAAATTTGAAAGCCTAAAATGCTTACAATGTCCATTTTCATGTACTTAAGTACGACAAAGAAGGACATCGTCTGGCTTCCAAGAAAAAAATATAATTGTAAAGATGATGGAGGTGGATATATGAAGGTATCACTAGTGGTTATGCAACTCGCTCAGATGTTTGCCTGGTTTACTACCTAACGTTGTTTTTGATAGATTTTCTCATGCCGAAAACGTAGATCCATCCAAACAAAGGATTTAAAATAAGTCCTCTCTTCAAAGGGAGCTTGTTTTCCAGAACAGAGGCATGCCAAAAAGTCCATGAAACTAAAAGAATAGTTGACCTAGGGCTTATAAGGACTAGACTCGTAGTGGGTGATGAGAATACTAGGAAGGATTTGTGCTCCCCAGGCACTGCAACCTTCTGGCTTATTATACTTCCTAGTTCCCTAATTCAGAAGTATTAGGTCATTGACTGTCGCTGCTACAATTTCAACCCCTAGGTTTTTTCTCAGTGTTAGGTTAAATCTCCATTGAGCCATTGCATTCGAAGATGATATGGGTGGTTGTTTCCTCCTCCTCGTTGCAATCTGCAAATGAGATCATCGTTCTATATGCCCATGTTGTGTTGATGTTTTCTCAGATGCCAGTGACTGAGTTAAAGTCCTATCCACTCGTCTGAGTCTAGCCCTCTCGAATTGCAGCAGTGAGTTTGCCAGTCTTGGTGAGGGTTGTTTCATCATAACTTTGCTGTGTCTAGGGCCGCTAGAGTTTATCCACGTCTCCTTTTGTTTTATTTGGATCCATTCTGCGAAGGAGGATTCTAGATATCTTGTTGTTATCCCAAGTATTGGTTCGGGGCCTATGTATGGTCTTGCAGATCCTCCTCTGGCCAGTGTCTGCTTTTTCGTTACCTTTGTGCCTGGCACCCAAGATATCATCAAATTGTTGTTTTTACCAGGTTTTGGACGTGTTGGATACATTCAACTTTGACTAATTTTAATGAGACTTTTTTACATGCTAATGCTTCAATACCTATTTGGCTATCATACCTTCGGATTTTTTTATTTTGCCAGTGTAACCTCTTTTAAGATTTTCTAGGGCACAAGCGTTCTTGGCATGCATTTCTGCTTGAAAGACCGAAGTGCACTTCCGTAGTAGTACTGCTGACTGGAAGGTTCCGAAAGCATCAGCCTGAAGGATACACATATGAACACTAACAAAGCTTTGGGATCTGATTTAAAACAAAAACTTAACGAAAAGTCCGAAACAATAATGGTACAATAGAATAGTACTGGTCGCGGTTGCACGGTGTCGTAAAGATGCCGACTCATTTTAACCTTAATCATAACCTTAGATTTCAAGAGGAAATCAAGGATTGTGCAGGGTGATGTAGTCTGGTCGTACTAGATCGTTTTGGTCTATTTATTTTCGCCTTCTCTCGGGAATTAAGAAGAAATTCTTCGTCCTTGTCTAAAATATCACTAATGACGGATAGTGTCGGGCAAATAAGAAAAGTAGTGCTTACCAGTCCTAGGGTTGACCATTTCAGGGGTGTATGATTTTTTTATATAGGTCTTTTTACACATCGAGAAGGATTATTGGGAAGTGGGGATAATCAGATTATTGGACGTAAGTGTGAAATTTTTTGAAGCTGGATCATGCAACTTCTTTTAATAAAGAGAGCATAATGGATCGTGCGGTTGGAAACAGAACGGGACGATGGATCTAAGAAATTGTGATTTCAGGTCTGAAGTGTGTAGAGGGTGAGATGCCTTTGAGTTCCCAGAACAGACTCACCTGTTCGACACGGAGGAAGACTCGAGAAGCATTCCTTCTGAACGTAAGATACGATGATGCCCATAGCTCTGTTGAACAGTGGAAGATACAGATATAACGTCTGGGTGTGTAATCTAGTGCACTCACTATTGTATCCCCAGTTTTGCATTTATAGCAGTGAGTCCTTGTTCATTAAGGAACTTGATTAGTACGTTCGGTTTCAGTGGTCGAATTTCTTCTATGGTTGTACATCCTCGAGCAAATGTGCCGACATAGATTGTTAGTAGGTGGGTTGTTCTCTTCTGCTTCTTTGAAGAATCTGCACATGGTTGTTTTATACCAGTCATTTTCTGATGGTTAGGGATGGTTAGTTAGTTGGATGCTTCTTTGAAGAATCTGCAAATGGTTGTTTTATACCAATCGTCTTCTAATGGTTAGGGATGGTTAGTTAGTTGGATGCTTCTTTGAAGAATCTGGACATGGTTGTTTTATACCAATCATCTTCTGATGGTTAGGGATGGTTAGTTAGTTGGATGCTTCTTTGAAGAATCTGGACATGGTTGTTTTATACCAATCATCTTCTGATGGTTAGGGATGTTTAGTTAGTTGGATGCTTATTTGAAGAATCTGCAAATGGTTGTTTTATACCAATCATCTTCTGATGCCCATTCAGTCTGCAGTGTTAAGAATCATATTAAGATTCGACTTTAATCTGTGGAATGTTGACGTCTAAAACCAAAATGATAGTCGAGGATTATATTACTAGGGTATTCGAGAATGGAGACTTTTTGATGTCTGATTTTACCAAGATTCGCAGTAAATCGATGAAATTATAGAAATTCGGTGGTTTGTTGGTTTAAGGTGAACCATGGAAAACCCCCAGGTCGGTAGCCTCAGTTCAAGTTTGGAGCTACTTTTCCTTGAGTAGTTCAGTGAGAAAACTCCAAACTATAGCACATTTACCTAATATATAATATTATTTTTGTATATTTAAACATGATACATAATTTATTGTAAGTACATGCATCGAAAATCTATATCGATCTTGAAATATTTCTACATTCATGATCTTATTTCTCGTTTGCACTTTATGTAAAAGATCACATTATCCTTTAAAAAATTTCTAGATGTTTTTGTCCTTTTTAAATTTTCAATTCAAAACGAATTCGATTAGTTAAAATGAGGCTAGATTCATATTTTTATTTTATATCGTCACCATTTTCCCGGATACTGTGGAAAATTCTCCGCAGGCGTAAAGCCAATGTGAAAGTTCAATTTATGACTTTGCTTCTCAGCAGTTATGACTTTTATTAAACTGCAGGCGAACAACGACAGAATCGAGATTTTGTCTCCCCAACTTTAAAGGTTGTCTCATTGAAATTCAAATCAATTCGAATCGTTTAAACAATAGTTAAAATTAAACCAGACGATTCACTGGTCACCATATCATCATCTTCATTATAAATCTTAATATTTCATGAATTAAGCCTGTGGTTTCATACTTGAACGTCTGCGATGTTGAGTAAAGAGCCTGCCAGTTCCTGAATATTTTTGTTAAATATATTCTGTCTTTTTAACCTGTTGTTTTATTTAAACAAGCACGTCAGTACCCGGTAAAAGTACCCGGGTAAGGCTTATCTTCAGATCAGTATGTTGGCTGAAGTTCGCTTGTTTCAAGTTAATCCATTGTCTCTGAGAAATTCTGTTTAAGTAAAAATTATAATTCGCTTAGAATTTAAATTTTTATTTAATTTTTTTCTATTGTTTTAGAGAGCTAGAGCGAGAAGAGTGGTCAAACAATAACAACAACAGTCCAAAGCCCAATCCTGAAAAGGTACCTAGGAAATTTCACATTTTTCTTATTTTTTTTTTTTAACATTCCATGGGAAATTGTGACGTTCTGTCCTTTCCAGGAGGTTGCCCGTGGGACGAAACGCTACCTTCAGTGCCCTGCAGGATTCAAAATGGCCCACCTGAAGAAATTCATCCGACAGAAGTACGGACTTCCGCCGAATTGTAACGTAAGTATTTCTCGTCTGTATCTCACTTTTGTACATCCACTGTGCTTTTCCCTTGTTAAATTGTAATTTTTAAGTATTTAATCCCATAGTTTAGAAATTTAATATTCAATTTAGGACTAATTATTTAACCCTTTAAGGCCCAATGTTGTCTTTGAGCAAGACGAACATTAGCAATTTGGTTAAAAGGATAGCGGGAAATCCTGTTAGGTTGGCGCCAAATTAGTCGGTGTTGCCAATACCCGGGCAGAATCAGAGCAGGACAACACTGCGCCGGCCCTAAACTCACGAGATTTCCTGCTAACCTTAAACCAAATTTCTTAAGATGGCAAACCTCTAAAGCAACCTTTTTCAAGTAAGGGTTAAAATTATAAACTAGATTGAAAAATTTGATGTTTGGCAAATATAACCTCTTTTTTTCTTTGGGTAATTGAGACGCTTTGTCAATTATTTCAACATTCGAAAAGTCAAATTTATGCCTACTTGATATTGAATGTTTTGATAGTCCGGTACCAGTTGTGAATTTTATGCCACAACCCGCCACTTCACCTCAACTGACGGTGAGCTCGGGACCTTCTTAACACCTACCCAAAGCATGTGTTCTACCGGTGCAGTGCTGGCATTAGTGCTAGTGTTGTGCTGTATGATATATCAATCATGTGTACATATTTGTATAGGAGTCCTGTATAGGTAACAAATAAATTTAAAAAAAAATGTTTGCCAAATATAATAATCGATAAAAGATGCAGTGGTGGGGTGAAGAGCCATGTTGGAGAAAGAAGATTCCAAGATGGAGATTCTAGATTGGCGCCAAAAAAACGTTGCCAACACACGGGATGAAACGTTGAAAGGAAAAACCCTTCACCAATCCCAAACTCATGCTAAGCTTTTGCAAATTTTCTAAATTTTTTATATCCTGAGGCAACGTTGGTTAACATTATTTATACAAGTAAAATAAAAATGTTGGGAGGACTTAAATAAATATGGAAGTATATTTCACGATTATGCTGGTAACCTCATAGGCTCAAATAGTTCAGAGCTAGGCAGAAATGTTCCAATTGAATTTTGTGAGTCACTCTTGGAGAATGGCTTAACCATTCGCTTACCCTTCAACCGCTCCACCCCTTTAACTTAGGGTGCCAAACCGCCTCGGGCTACTTGTAAGGCCTAATAACTCCCTTTCCGACGAAGGCGGAGTTCAGTTTTTATTGAATCTCCTCGTAATTAAAGTGTATTAGTTGCTTGATGAACGCTTGTAATCCCGACAAGAGTGAAACTTGGGTCGAAAAATCGGCTGGAATGTTTTGTAACGTTTTGCAATTCAGTAGTGAGGTTATTAAGGTACTTTTCCCGTCTTGTGCCACTCCTTTTATGACGGCTTCCTGACAAAGGGTCCTTTTTAAAATCTTAAGACCTGGTACCGTTATGGCATCCGAAAATCCCCTTTTGAGTCGGCCAAACCTTTTCCCCTCTACATAAAACGCGTCGGCCAATTTCATTTATTCAAATGCAATGCCGTTGAATAAACAAGGTATTATAACGACCTGTCGCTATTAACATAAATGGTCAGCGACCTCCGTTTAAACAAAAGATCATGACTTTATTTCAAGGTTAAGTCACCTGAGTTTCTATTTTTTTAAAACTGCTCCTCCGGCCTGTCACCCGGCTGATTTATGAAAGGGAGGATGGCTGAATAAATTAGTACCTGTAATTTATACTTGTTCACACCGGCCGGAGTGCCAATTAGAACGTGTTAGTATCGTTGTTTAAAAAATGGTCCCTTATTGTTAGAAAAGGGATCGAATATTCGAGGTTGTGAAAGTGTGACCTTCCCGTTTGGCAGGGGGCAACTGCCGGCAACTAGTTTGTCACTAATCCATGCAATGTTCTTAAAGAGGACGGGTTGGATCGGCAACACCGCCTCATTCCCTCCCGAAAAGCTTAAAATGTAAGCCAAGGCTGGATGTACAACCTGTAAAGTTTACTTTTACGTAATTGTATTCTAAATAGATTTATTTTCATACAGGTGGAAATTATGTACAGAAGAGAGTCATTGCCTGACACTTACTCTTTGATGGATATAGCTTACATATACACATGGAAAAGGGTAAGTTAAAAAAATAATAATAAATAATAATATGACCATTTGTTCTAGTTTTTCAAATATATTTCTTCTTTTTTTTTAGAATGGCCCTATGCGTTTTTATTACCGAATGCCTGATTTCGTTCATAAACAAATTTTACCACCGTTAGACGAGAAGGCAAAAGACGAAAAAGTCACGACACCGGTGGCTGCAGAGGAATCGACAGTTTCTGACGTTGAAACACCCAAATCGAAAGAAAACGGTACCACTCCGACCGTGGCTGAAGAGAAAGAACCGCCGGGAGAAAAATTCCAGGACAAACCTATTCCCGAGGTAAAGCCCGAGCCGAAAGTGCAACCGACTAATGATGAACTGCCTCCTTTGAAAGTCAACGGAGAACCAAAGCGAGATGAGACGGAAGTCGTTTCTAAAGAGTCAACACCGGCCAAGCCCGAAGAGAAGAAAAATTGTTTAGAAAATACACTTCCGAACGGGTTGGTCACAACGAGGCCGTTGTCGAAGCAAGACGAACTCTCGGTCAGCGTTCTTTTGTCTCTTGGAAATTGCCGTGTTGACGAGAAGCAGCCTAGCCTCGATAAACCGAAACCGCCTGAAGAGCAAAAAGAACCCGAACCGGAATTCACATTTCCGAAGCCGTTTTGCTATGCAAAAGCTCCGAATACGCCTCGCCCCGGAACGGAACACTACAACAAGAAAATTCTCAACGGAAAACTTAATCCAAAGTTTTCCGTTAACAACATAGCGTCTGAATTGGCTAAGAACAACCGTTTGAACTCTGGGAAGAAAATTCTACCTTGGCAACGACCGGAACTGTTGAAAAAGAACCATAGGAATGAGCAATATATAAAACCGAAGCCTTCGGAGAAATCGGATCCTTTCGCGTTCCCAGTCAACGACGCGGTGAGATCGAGTAATTCTAGTCCATTACAACATTCTACTCAATACAAACCCTTAGCTCAGAAAACCCCAGAACCGACTGTCCCACCTCTCAAAATAAGCCTTTCGAAGGGAAATCCGAGAGTGGATCCCTCTTCTCTTCCCACTGCCCTGCCGAAGCCTAAAGTAGCCCCGTCGGGGAATAACTCGCCGTCTTCGTCCCAGAACGGTTACTCCGTCAATCCGGAAAGGCCCGAGGTGACCGTCAAAACGACAAACGGGAGTCTGACCATAACGACACAACCTCCCGTCGCTCAGAACGGATCCCGATCGCCTCAACAACCGGACCCTCACAGGAAATCAACGGCAACCCCGCCCAACATAAGGCGGGTGAACGGAGGCGGAGGTTTGACAATAGTCCCGGAAATCAAGCCCAAGGAAAACACCGTGCCATCCCAGAATAGCGTAAATACGACACACAGGTTACCTACTTTCCCTAAGCCGCCTGTGAGAAAGAGTACTTTCATGCCGGGAGGCGTTATAAGCAAAACGGGCCCGACGTTGGACCAGAGGATTCAACAGTTGTATAAAAATCAAAACAACCGACAACCATCCGTTCCCAACTCGCCGGTCGTCAGTCAAGCTCAACCGGCGGGGAAACCTCAAGAATCCAGATTGGCGAATTGGTTGAACAACAGATTCCCACCGCAACAGAAACCGCCGACGCCCAACGACCAACCGGCCCCGAAGAACGCGATCACGCCGAAAAGTCCGAAATCCGAAGAGAAAAAAGAAGTGAAAGAATCCGACGTGGCCAAACTCAGCAAGGAGATGTGCATGCTGAAACGGAAACTGGACGAGCTGAGAAATGCCCAAAACGCTTGTGAGATCACTCAGGAGAATCCGGGTCCCGAAATCGCCAAAAAGAGAAGGGACGTGACGCCCGACGTCTCGATCGAGTTTATGAGAGCGTCGGATATGAAAAAAGTAGAAGTCGCGGTGAAAACGAAAGAAAAGACCACGGTGAAAAGACCCGTACCGGCTTTGAAAGCCATCCAGGAAATCGACGTCTCCAAGAGGAAAAACGTCGAAGATGATAAAGGGCCGGCCAAAAAGGCGAAGCTCGCCGTGAAAAAGGAGGAGGAAGCGTTGGATTTGAGCGGAGCCGGGGCCGGTAAACCCGGGGTCGATCTAGCACACAGAATGGCCCTCATCCATCAAAACGGAAGACTGCCACCGCCGGAACCCGCCCTACACTGGATGCTCAACCGTCCGCTCCTAGCCAACCAGCATTTCATCCCTAGGTCGACGTAACCCTGAACATTAATGGTACTGTGAACTGTGCTACCATTGTATACGAATTTAGTCATTAAGTCAAACGGCCCTCAACGCTAATTCCCGACTGATTTATATGTGATTAAAGTAAATAATTGGCTGTAAATTCACATATTTCCATGGACGCATTACTCGAAGCGAATAATTTTACTCGGAGTATGCGTTGCATAGCCCTCACTAATTTGCAACCATTATTTTGTGAATAAGTAAAAAAAGCTTACATTTATCAACTTACAAAAATATTGAAAAAAAACATAAATTGTTACATACTTGTTTCAAATAATTCAAATAATTTTCGATAATTAATTTATAATTACAATACCGGACTTTACTTAAAAATCAGGCATACTACATCTAAAAGTTTTCACATACAAATCTATGTGTACACATATATAAAATAAAACTTGAGTTGTATAAATAATATTTACGTGAGAGAGTAAAACTGTACAAAAAATAAATTGTATCGAATCTTTGTAACTAAATTTTTATTTTAATATTGTTTATTTTAAATATACCAATAATGATAAAATAAACCAGTAACATTTGTTAATTTGTATAATATTTATAAAGAATGATTACTTGTAAATACATTGAGCCTGTTACGTTTATTTTAAACTTATTAATTATATTTATTTGATTTTATATCTTTCGGACAGAGGAATTACACGGTAATTAAATTTAATTTGTAATATAGTATTATTTCCAATGATTTATGGGTTTTTCGACAAAAAAAAGAACTGATTGAAAAGGGAGTGCCTATAGCATTAAAGTAGCCTTCCTTATTTTGTAAATACGATTAAAAAATCCATTGTTTTATATTTTGTGTACAGTAATGTATATTATAGTATAGTTTTTCAATACACTACTTGCTATTATTATAATATATGAATTATTTTTTATTTCCTAACGATCCATTTCCATTATCCTGTGAATTTTAAAAGGTAAGATGCATGAACGATATTTTTTCCTAGTTGGTACGACAAAAAAAAAGTTCGGGTAGGAAATCGTAATGTATGCATACAAAAAAAAATGTATGGTGATCACCGTTAGTCAATGATTATTCAGAAATCGTGAGATGCGGCCTGGTGTGATGTAGGTTTCAGAAAAATATTTTCTTTATCGTGCCAACGTTTCGATCTTTATTGAGATCGTCTTCAGGGCTCAAAGTGTTTGTTTTCTGCGTAAGTGTGACATTCTTGCGTGTCGTGTGCCACTCACAAACACTTTGAGCCTTGAAGATTATCTCAATAAAGATCGAAACTTTGGCACGATAAAGAAAGTGTTTTTCTGAAACCTACATCACACCAGACCGCATCTCACGATTTCTGAATAAACAAAAAAAAATATTTAGGAACATGCAAGGAAAAAATATAGATTTAACCTATCAAAAAATCCATTTGGCAGGAAATGTACACGACTGATAAAAAGAGGATAGGGACGTGGGATCTCCAATTTTTTATTTTTTTTATTTTTTTATTTTGTTCGGTTTTTACATAAGGTAACTTATCTAAAAACTTACCTATTAAGCTCATTTGCACGTATATAGTATAGTGTTTTGGCAGTACATGCTTCTGCAGTAAAGTTCGTTAGAGTTCCATTATCCTGTGAATTTTCAATGGTAAGATGCATAAACGATATTTTTTCCTAGTTGATACGATAAAAAATAAGTTTGGATAGGAATGTATGGTATATATGCAAAAACATTATTTACGTGGGAGGTTTAACCTATCAAAAATCCCTTTTCCACGAACTGTACACGACTGATAAAAAGGGGCTAGGGACGTCGGAATTCCGATTTTTTAATTATTATTATTTTTTTGTGGTTGGGTATTTAGATAGAAAAAAAAATTCGGGAAGAAAATTGTAATGTATATATACAAAAAAAGAGATATAGGAACAAACAAGGAAAACTCTAGCTTTAACCTATCAAAAATCCCTTTTGTATGAACTGTACATGACTGATAAAAAGGGGCTAGGGACGTGGGAATCCCGATTTTTTTATTATTATTGTTTTGTGGTTGGTTAGATAGAAAAAAAAATTTTCGGGAAGGAAATTGTAATGTATATATACAAAAAAAGAGATATAGGAACAAACAAGGAAAAATTCTAGCTTTAACCTATCAAAAATCCCTTTTGTATGAACTGTACAGTCACTTATCTAAAAACTTATCTATTAAACTCATTTGCAAGTATATAGTATAGCGTTTTGGCAGTGCATGCTTCTGGAGTGAAGTTCGTTAGAGTTCCATTTTGTGAATGTTCAATGGTAAGATGCAGAAACGATATTTTTTCCTAGTTGATACGATAAAAAATAAGTTTGGGTAGGAAATTGTATGGTATATACATAAAAACATTATTTACGTGGGAGGTTTAACCTATCAAAAATCCCTTTTGCACGAACTGTACACGACTGATAAAAAAGGGCTAGGGACGTGGGAATTCTAATTTTTTTAATTATTGGTTCGTGGTTGGGTTTTTAGATAGAAAAAAAAAGTTCGGGTAGGAAATTGTAATGTATATATACAAAAGAGAGATATAGGAGCAAACAAGAAAAAACTCTAGCTCTAACCTATCAAAAATACATCTTGCATGAAACGTACTTTTTTTAATCGGTTTTTACTTATATTATTATATTATATAGTATATTATTACCTTATTATTTATTACCTTATTATATTATATAGTATAGAGTTTTGGCAGTACATGCTTCTGCAGTGAAATTCGTTGGATTGGATCAATTATTATTATATTTATAAAGAATGATTAATTTTAAATACATTGATCCTGTTAGTTTATTTTAAACTTATTAATTATATTTATTTGATTTTATATTTTTCGGACAGAGGAATTATACGGTGATTAAATATAATTTGTAATACAATTAATTAAGGTTTTTAGTTGAGATAAAAAAGTTAATGTCAGGAGCGGGATTCGAACCCACGACCTTCGGCTAGATACGCCGCTGCTCTAGCACTTGAGCTATCGTGACCTCGATCCACTCGGACACTAACTTCCCGTCTCAACCCAACCTTTTGAATTTTCCCTCCTTTTTGCCATTTTTCGTGGGTTCGAATCCCGCTCGGGCCATTAACTTTTTTATCTCAACTAAAAATCTTAATTAATCATAAGCTATTACCTGGTCAAGCGGACCACGAAACTTGTGAATTTAATAATTTGTAATATAGTATTATTTCAAATGGTTTATGGGTTTAAAAAAAAGAACTGATTGAAAAAGGACGGAATGGATTTAAAAAAAAAACCATTGTTTTATATTTTGTGTACACTTCGAGCTCTGAAGATGATCTCAATAAAGATCGAAACGTTGGCACGATGTAGAAAATTATTTTTCTAAACCTACTTCACACCAGACCGCAACTCACCATCTCGAAATGACTATTTATATATATATATAATTATAATCTTCGGTGGTTGTTCTGTGCGTTATTTTTTCCAATTGTGTCCTTTTTATATAAATAAAGTCTCCAGTGAAGATGGCAAAAAGCTGAAACACATCTGACAGAAAACACGGACCCAGATAAAATATCAACATCCTGAATAATTAAAGAAAAAATCTCTGGTTTATTGCAGAATCAAGGGTGTGGTTATTCGAAACTAAGCGCAAAGTGCGGCTTTTCTTTTTGTTCTGTTGATTTTTATAAGACAATAAGTCCCGTCAAGTAAACGTGAAATATTATGGTCCAGGTAACTAACTCGCAATAAAAAGGGAGACGTGGTTTTGTCGGACTCTGGCCTGTTACAGATCCCAGTGTTCTGTTCGCTCACCCTCCTTATCTACGGACCTTATCTCTTTCTGTTATCTCTCACTTCCTCCTCCTCTCTAAATTACTCTCGAAGCCGGACAAAGCTGTTGGCATGTTTCAAGCGTGGGACGTCTCTCTTGCCACACTGCCAGAAGGTTAAATTAAAAAATGACGTGTGTATTTACGGATAACCAGTGCTGAGAGCTGCTCTGCCCCATTTGCATGACGTGAATTATTAAATGGGCCGTATGTGGCGTACAAGTTTAGGGGAGGATTTTCAAGTGAAGCACGGCCCAGCCGACACTCCTCGCTTTTCTCTCGACACCCTTGTTTTGAATATGAATGAGCTTAAATCAAAACTTCATTATTATGTACGCGGTCTCAGATATCAAAGCATACAGGACACGGTGAAAAATTCGTTTTCAGACTTCCAGCATAAAGATTGTACATAAAAATAGCGTTAATTAAAGAAACCTTTTATAGCCTTTATACAAATATTTTATATTTTTGGGCTAGTTTTTCTCCCATGACCTGTATAACTCATAAAAAATCATAGTACCTACATAATTTATTCAATGCCTATAATACTACGACTGTTTCAAAGCTGACGTTTTTTGCTTTATGCTTTCAGCCGTCAACCACGTCCGTTATGTGTCCTGCAACGATGCCTATATAAGTGAGAAAAATAGGATTAAATCGACAAAAATTGCTCAATAGTTTCATTGTTTTTATCTCCAGTTCTACAGTATTTACGGTAGCCTGATTTATACCATTAGGTGTATTTTATAAGGTGCTAAACCTCTGTAGAATTTCACGTACATCGGTGGAATCGTATTAAAGTTATCACTGTTTTGTGTGTTTTTCGAAAAAATCAAAGAAAAGGAATTTGTGGAAAATTGTAAATTTTCATTTGTGGTTTGTTTAGATGGCAGAATCCATAATCAACTTTGTTTCTTGCTAAATTATATTTTCTCATACTCTGCTACTATATCCAAATTATGTATTTTTGGCAGGTGGTCCTGTTTTACACGTTCATAAAAATAAAATTCTCAAATAATCTTAAATCTTCTTATAACCGTTTTTTGTGATTTTCGAAAAAAATTAAAGACCGGAAATTTGTGAAAAAATGTGAATTTTCCCAATAATTTCAATTAGGAGGGAAAATTCAAAAGGTGCGGTTGAGATGGGAAGTTGGTGCCCGAGTAGAACAAGGTCACGATAGCTCAGGTGGTAGAGCGGCACCGTATCAAGCCGAAGGTCGTGGTTCGAATCCCGCTCGTGGTACTGACTTTTTATCTCAACTAAAAACCTTAATTAAGTGTAACTTTTTATCACCGTTTTTTGTGGTTTTCGAAAAAATCAAAGACCGGAAATTTGTGAAAAATTGTGAATTTTCTCAGTAATTTTCATTTATGGTTTGTTTAGAGGGCAGAATCGAAAATCAACTTTTTTT